TGATAACCAGACGGAGACTTTCCGTTCTGAAGGCTGGAAGCGGTTCCGTGTCGAGCAGAATCACACGGATGGCGCCAACAGTACCACCGAGGTCCCAACCGTCCCACCACATGTAGTCGGTGACGAGGAGGGAGAAGTGGCCCACGACTGGGGCTACACAACCGGAGATAACCACTGCAACAACGTCCGAGTTCGCCACCGGGTTTCCAAAGTCCCCCGCCACGACTCGGAAACCTACCCGGCGACAGACGACAGCTCCGCCGCTAACGCTGCTCACCTGGAGCCCAAGCCGAACTCCTCGCTTGAAAAGAAATTCAGCGGCGACGTCGACAGCACTGGCCACACTGCTGCTATGGACACTGTGCACGCGAAGAACTCTACAGACTTGAATCTGTACTTGGATGCCGTGCTGACAGACATTATGAAGAGCCACAAGAGAAAGCAGCACCGCACTCTGAAACGTATCAAACGGAGCAAAGCCATCGTCGTGCTGCTCGCAGTTGGTGTGCTGATCGCTGGCTCTGTGGCACATGTCTACTTGCGACAAATTGTACCGTGAAAAGGCGCCCTTTATAATTTGATGCAACCTATGCTTATCTGAGTTCTGATATACTGCTGATGAAATTATACCCCGCCATATCACTATAAAAGCACGGTATCTGCTTGGATACTTGACTTTCGAAGCCAAAAGCTTCATACACATTTAAACTTTGTTTATTTTATCACTAAAATGGGACGTACCCGTGACCTGACCTTAGTTACAACCCATGTTACTTGCGTTACAAAAGCTGGCATTTTTGTTCATCATTTTACATATTGTATGGAGAGGTCCTATAGACCTACGATGTAATTTCACGCAGCATTCGTTTCTACGAATAAAAACAGTCCTGGTGGGGAAAGGACCAAGGACATGTATGCTTGCTTGTGTGTGGATTGTGTTCAGTACCAAGGACAGGAATGCTTGCTTGTGTGTGGATTGTGTTCAGCACCAATGACAGGGATGCTTGCTTGTGTGTGGATTGTGTTCAGTACCAAGGACAGGAATGCTTGCTTGTGTGTGGATTGTGTTCTGTACCAAGGACAGGAATGCTTGCTTGTGTGTGGATTGTGTTCAGCACCAATGACAGGGATGCTTGCTTGTGTGTAGATTGTGTTCAGTACCAAGGACAGGGATACTTGCTTGTGTGTGGATTGTGTTCAGTACCAAGGACAGGAATGCTTGCTTGTGTGTAGATTGTGTTCAGCACCAAGGACAGGAATGCTTGCTTGTGTGTGGATTGTGTTCTGTACCAAGGACAGGAATGCTTGCTTGTGTGTGGATTGTGTTCAGCACCAAGGACAGGAATGTTTGCTTGTGTGTGGATTGTGTTCAGCACCAAGGACAGGAATGCTTACTTGTGCGTGGATTGTGTTTAATGTTTAGCACCAAAGACAGGTGTTAATGAAGAATTCTTCGTTACGCCTAATTTTGCCTTTCCAAATGCAGGAAAATGCATCATTGAAGGTTTAGAAATACAAAATTTCCCGGGGGAGAATGCCCCCGGACCCCCTACATTGCTCGCGCCTTCTGTGCTCGGTTCCCTACGGCTCTAGCCATGCAGCACCAGTTTTCCGTCAATTACCGGAACTTTGCGGCGTGTGACGGATTTTTTACCTTCGCCAAGAAGGTTATGTTTTCGTTGGCGTTCGTGTGTCTGTGTGTGTGTCAACACGATAACTCAAGAAGGCTAAGATGGATTGTCTTTATATTTGGTAGGTGGGTAGGTCTTGATGAGACCTAGAACTGATTAGATTTTGGACCCCCTGGCGGCTTGTTATGGTACTGCAGCTGAACTTCCGGTTTTGATATCTCGTGATCTGGACATGGTAGGGTCACTAAATTTGGATGGTAGGTAGCTCTTTGGCTGGGGAAGAAGTGACATGGGTTTGGACCCCCTAGCGGCTTGTTCTGATACTGCAGAAGCATCTGTTGAAAAATATTCGAAGGATGATAACTCAAGAACCGATTGACAGATCATTATGATTTTTAGTACGTGGGTACCTTAAAGAATGCTTGACATATTACAATGATAGCTATGCAAATCAGCAGCTAATTTGCATAATTAATGAGGAAATGCTATAAATCTGCTACCTTCCATGATATGATTATTCAAACGTGTGGCATGTGTAATTGTGAAGAAGAACATTGGCACGTAGTGTTTATGAAAATGAATGCCTAATTTGCATAATTAATGCGAATCGTCAACATTCGTCAAGGCCCAAGGGTAACTTCATTTGGCGAAGGTATGAGATCGTGGAACTCTAGTTTAAAACTAACAATGACAGAATCAAGGCATCGCCTTGAACGTTCCATCATGCAAGAAGAGCTAGATAAGTTCGGTCAGTGGTCCAAGGACAATTACATGCTTCTGAATGGTGACAAGTGTAAGATTATGACTATTTGCTTTTTTAGGATTCCCCCTGCACCGCCGTCACTCAACATTTACGGTTCAGAACTTGAAAGTGTGGCAGTTGCATGTCTCCTGGGAGTCTGGCTCCAGGCTAACCTGAAGTGGGAAACAAACGTAACCAAGATGCTCAACAAAGCAAACGGCCGGCTGTTTCTATTAAGGAGACTGAAACACTTCAACCTCCCTGTGAATGACTTACTGCAGGTCTACAAGTCATACGTGAGACCTGTAGTAGAGTACTGTGCCCCTGTATGGCACCCAGGACTCACTAGTTCCCAGTCAGCTCGCTTGGAGAGGATACAGAAGAGGGCACTGCGCACCATCCTGAAGGATCAGTACGTGGACTACAACTCATCCTTGCACACTACAGGCCTACAGTCACTCAGCAGCCGACGCACGGACTTATGCCGGAAATTTGCTTCTAAGATCAACCCTGACCTCCTCCCACCGAGAGGAAGCGAGGAGCATGGCAGGAACACTCGAAATGCTAACAAACTGAGAACTGTGAAGTGTAGGACAAATAGATACCAAAACTCTACCATACCATACCTAACCCGACTGTTAAACGAATGAATAGCAATATTGTTCTCATCACAACCCTTCAGAGAACTTGAACAAGGGAAAAATTGTGACTTATGTGATGAAAGAATTAGGCCCGCATGTATGTCGTACTGTTCGCGAAATATATCTATGTGTATTATATATCTATTATTTTAATCATCTTTTAATCATCTGCAACGGAGACATGAATGTTTAAGCCATGACAGAACTGATTTTAGATAGGTAAATTTAATTATCGTTTTTATATTATAACTGAATGACACTTTTAAAGTACTTGTAATGGAATCTGCAATTCAGCCAGTAGGCTGCGAGAGTTTCTTTTCTAATAAACCATTCATTCAAACCATTCATTCATAAAACTCAATCCGTTCACCTTGACAGACAAAATTACAAAAATCTTAGTTAGAAATATGAAAACCTCCGAAAGACCACTGAAAAACACTCTCAACACCATGATTTGCTTCTCAAAATGCATGAAATTGCGTTTTTGAAGGCTTAAAAATCGAACATTTCACGGGGGAGCATTCCCCGGAGCCCCCTAGATTGCGAGCACCTTCCAATATCCGATGCATCGATGATGAACGTGGGCGGACGTCGGAAAAAATTCAACTTTGGCTAGAGCCCTGGCCGACTCGGACTCCGCTTAGTTTGTGGACGCAGGGCAGGCGGGAAACACAGGGTACAGTAGAAGTACCTTAAATGCGTGATTACTGAAAGACATGTACATTATCATGTCAGCCATGTTCCATATATATACATGTACTATACTATGTTAACTTTTGAAATAGAATGTTATTTTCGATACATAGAACTTGTAGGTAATACTGTAGACGTGAGAGTAGATGCTAGCTAGATATGTAGTACTGAAGAGTTTGCCATGCATTGTACCTGTTACAATTGTTGTGCAATAAAGATTGACTTGACTTGACTTGTAAAATAAGGTATACATAAGTTTAATTTGATTGTCAGTGATTACTTTTTCATATAAATCCTTATACCAAATCTTGTGCAGCTCGAATAAAAATGCCTGTCAATTTACCGTTAAGCGTTACCGACCTCCTGAATTTACCGTTAAGCGTTATCGGCCCTGCTGAATTAACCGTTACCAGGACACCCCCCCTCCATGCAGACCCTCCAACATGCCGAAAATTGGAAAATATGTTGTACATGCCTATCGGTTCGGAGACCATTGGGATCCAGCAAACTTGAGGCACAATAGTTCGTATTTGAAATTTGAAAATGAAAGAATTTTTTTGCCCGCCTTGTTTTTTCGCCCTATCGCATTAGATTTGGGGTCTGTGGAAGATGTCATCCAAAAAATTTTGCTTAGGCCATGTTGATTTGATTATATGGATGACATCCGCGCGCGCACGAATTATCCACCGTTTCCACACACACAAAAAAAAAACTTTTCAACCTAACTGTAAATCGTACAAAAGAGTTGCAAATAAGCAAATATAATACCGTAAGTTGCAAAAATATTGGAAAACGATACCAATGCCGCAGAAAGCCAAAATCAAAGCCAAAAAGACGAAAATGTATTAGAAAGGAATTTTATAGCCTCCATAGCATGCCAAAAACTGGGGGTTTGGGGGGTCTTCGTGGTCTTTGGGAGCTTTTATGTCCTATTTTCTGATTCCATATAGACAACATAGCCGGCCTGGTTGAATTACCCCCGTTTTTTTTAGAACTGTGCTAATCAGAAAACAGCCGAAGACCACCAAACCCACAGTTCTATAAGCCTGCTACGGAGGAACAGTAGATTACTTGCCATACCAACCTGCCATACCGTAGATTTCATGATGAAAACAACTTTTTTTTTTGCCAAACTTTTTTTTTATTCGCACGCTCGCATCAGTTTTGGGGTTTCCAGGGGATGTCATCCATATAATCATATCAACATGGCCTTTAAATACTTGCCGTGGCCTTGGTTGAGAAGTTGGCCCAGTGCCCTGGCAGGGTGAATATGTTCATGAACCGGAAGTGTGACGTCAGTGTCATGGGACGTGCGTGCCCAAACGTGCTTCCCAGCATGCATTGTTACAAATGGCTCCCGTTGTTTGAGAGTTGTTGTGTTTTTTCTCGTCAAGGTAAGACTCGCTTCCTTATCAAAATTTATCAGTTTACGGACTTCTCAGTCCCAATTTTCACCGTGTAAGTGTACTCTAGATGTAGCAGTACATTTGTATAGGGTCATTTTACCGCCATTTCGCTTGTGTTTGCCCAAAGATGACTTCCACTTTCGACGGGGGCCCAGGTAGCTCTAGGGTGGGGAGCTTTTCTTGTATCATATGACGACACATATTTTGTAACGTTATACTCGCAATATTGTTACTACGAAACACAAAACAAAACCGTTGGCAGAGTTGATTTGTAAACAAGCAATCTTTTTTCCTAATCGTTGGTGGCGTGGATGATCATTTCTGTCTATAATTTGTTTCGAAATTTTGGTTTGTAGATTTGTCATGTATAATTTTGGTTTCGTACAAAGTCGAACTGTAACGTTAACTGTGTACAAAAATACATGTCCATGGTGTTTTCTCTTCAAGGATTTTGTGACAATGTAGAGTTAGTATGTAATATGTTACCAGGAACGGACATGTCTTTTGAAATAAAGACTTATTTGGTAACCAGGAAGTTAAAAAATCAAAGACTGTCAGGTACTGAAAAAATGTTTATTTAGTATTTTGCTTGACTTCACTTGTCTCGAGGCCAAAATTATTCTTAGTTGGGCCACAGTAAGTAAATTTTATGGATGACATCCTCCGCAGACTCCAAATCTAATGCGATAGGGCGAAAAAAATTTGATTTAAAAAAAATTAAATTTTGATATCATAAACCTGGATTCTTTGGCTTGAATGATATGAGAAGAAATATTAATATTGTGCTAAGTTTACTGTCGTTGTCAACGATTACAACATCCATTTGTCGCTGAAACAACTTTGTAGATGTCAAATTGTTAAACATGATATATGGCATTATGTAGTATAGGCACCAATGTGCTTTATGTAGTATAGGCACCAATGTGCTTTATGTAGTATAGGCACCAATGTGCCCCTTTACTACATAACCTTGGGCATTTTACAATTAGAGGGCTCGAAATAGCACTTGCACATGCAGATTAGCCCATGCAAAATTGCAGCTGTGCAGGTATTTCTTGGTATGTCTACCTGCACCTAACCTGCACTGGTCCATGTACTGGGTATATGCAGGTTAGTGCAGGTAAAATTGGGGCTGTGCAGGTATTTCTGATGTCTGCCTGCACCTAACCTGCACTGGTCCATGTAGAGTTTTTATGAAGAACAAATTTTAAAGAAATACATAATGGCAATTGTTTTTGAACAGTTTTAGTATAAATATGATCCATACTCCTAAATTCTGAGTGTTGCAGGTGAAATTTGTCTGGTGCACGAAATTTTCACTTTTACCTGCACCAGACATAGTTGAATTATTTCAGGAAACAAATTTTTCACGCCCAAATTTTCATACGCAAATTTTTCATGTGCAGAAAACCTGTTCCTGATTTCAAGCCCAGTGCCTTTACTTAAGGTCATTTCTGTGCACAGACAGTAATATTCATGTGCAACTTTCAGGAACAACAATGACCTAGCATCTTGGGCAGTGAGAGAACTGAACATTGACTGAACAAGGCTATGGCTTATGGTGGCAACCAGAGAGGACACCGCAGTCGTAACTGTCACAGGTTTGCTTTTTTAAAAATTCAGTTTTGTGTGCTAGATGACTATCCTTGTTTAGATACATGTACAGGGCAAGTAGGTTGAAGTCTGACTCAGAGACTTTTTTTGATGACAAGAAATTTGGTGCTGTGTACAGAGTGAAAACATTTTTATGTTTCAATGCAATTTCTATAGTTATCCTTTTTTGCAATACAAGTATGTGATTTTACAACATGCTCATTTTTTCACAGTTCGTTTTAACATTAACATGAAACCCGATTTACACGCTGGCAGGAATCTGACACATGAAAGCTGTGTATGCCTGTGAGTGTTCAGATCGTACCTTACCTTTAGGTTTGGCGTGAAATCTAGACACACTTTCTTCACTTACCTGAAAGCAGGCCGATTTACCCGTGGGAAAAATTTGATGTACTCGCGTGCATACACAGTTTTCGTGTGCATAGGCAGTTTTCGCACATTTAACAGTTTTTTTCCTGCATGTATATATATATTGGGTCTAAAATGCCTCCATCCACCCATTACTAGTCTATAGTCTAATATCAATTTTTGTGGTCCTCTTTTTAAGTTTAACACCCCTATCTAGATGTACGTTAGTAACACTTGGGCTGTTTTTTTTCCCCAGCAGGTTTAGGTTGGAGTTGCTGGGATGTTATGGAGTCTTTAGTTCTCATGATAACTGCCGTGTCAGGCTCAGGGCCCAGTATCGCTGGGTAAGGTACTCAGTACCATTTTTTTCAGTCCATCTCAGAAGAATTATTTTTTACCCGCAACAAGACAAGATTGATACAAAATTTTTTCTTCCTCTCTGGTTGAGGTTGCTAGCAGGCTGTTCAACACCTGTAGTTTAAGGGAGACAAGATAGATACATGTCAAATTCCATTTTAACATGTAAATTTGAACTATTTGTAACTACATATAAATGTAAGGGTGTCACTGTCAGTACAGTCGGTGTCTTGAATTTCACAATGGTATCTTGGCTTTGTATTAGTTGCTTTTCAGGACTGAATTTCAGCTTGTATTAAAATCTATGTATTTAGATGGAACTTGGTAAATGTGGTGACTGTTTTTAAGAAGCTCTAAAGTTCCTGTGTGTATGTTGACTTTACAGAGCTAGTGAAGATCAGGATATGATGGGGAACTTAGGTTTATCTGGGGCCAGCAGTGGAGATAGGGGAGGGGGTTTCCTGAGGAGAAGTGAGCGGATTGGTCGACGACTGGGCTTGTTCAGCTCCGCCCGTGTTGGAGAGGCCCCTGAGCCTTCGTCCTCCGCGTCTACCGCAGCGTCTGACGATCCCGCAGACACACGTAGCCGGCGCCGGCGGGGGACGAGCTGTTTCCCGCGCCGCAGTCGCCACCGCTCACGCACCAGGAGTAGGTCCCCGCTGGACAGCCGCTCCAGCTCTCCCAGCGTGAGCACGGCTTCTTCCAGCGGTTACGTAACCTCGACACCGCGTGCGGCGGAGTCCTCATCCCAGAGCGCCAGTAGCCAGTCGTCCGCCGGCTCCGGGCAGGCCCGCCGCACGGGCGCACGATGGGCGGAGTTCCTCGCACACGGCAGTCGAGGTAGAAGAGACAGTTCCAACATCAGTACCGCAGCGACAAGCGAAAGCGGCAGTGGTAATTCTGCGTCCAGTACCATCCTGAACCTGTCCACTCTGTACCCCAGCGGAGAGTTCGTCACCACCACCTCCAACGACTCCACCTCCACGGTTCACGTCAGAGTCAGGGGACCGGTACGCGATTCGTCGTCACAGCCGACCGCGGCCAGCGAAGATCCAGAAGTGGTCCCCACAGGTCGGTTTGGTTACAACCTGAGGAGTAGAGCCCGCGCCCAGCGAGCGTCGTCCACTCCACCGGCCGGCACATCGTCCGCTTCCCGGTCCACACCAGAGTCCAGTCCCGACGAGGCCGGACTACGTCTCGCCGACCTTCTCTCCCTGCGCATCAGCGTCAGACCGACCGACCGTGACACGAGTACCAACTCCGCCGAGTCCACCCCTGCCAACCAACAGGACACCGGAGAGGCCAGGGCCAGAGACGACACCGGCGGCACAGGCGCAAGCACCCCGGAGAACAGAGGGGATTCAGCCACGAGGACCCAGGGAACCCGTATCACGATCATTCGCATCCGCACGGCGCCGTCCACACCAGAGCTGGGCAGTCGGGAGGGAGGACAGCCACGCATCGCTGTGTCCACCCACAATGTGAATGGACCAACCCCTGCATCTAGTGCATCTACCAGGAGAGAGGATAGTACCACTGAAGCTACGGGGAACAGCAGGTGAGAGGCTGGACCATTTAGTAGTGATTTATTAGCTTCATTAATGATAGAATGACTAACGCAACAGCAGAAATAGTGAGAAAACTCATGTTCTGTTTCAGAATTTCTGCTTTTAGTCTGGTGGCAGAGACCGATAAGCGTGCAATGCGGTCCATACAAAGTTTTTTTGTTGTTTCTATATCTCTGAGGTGTGCTCTTTCAGAATCTGAATGATGCCACTCTGTCATCCTTGGGCAATTCGCACAATATGCAAATTAAGGTGGCCATTACTGAAAATCAGTTTTTCGTCAATATCTCAGTAACTACTCATGGTATCAAAATAATTTTGGTGTCTATCCCCATCTTTTGAGGGATAACGAATTAAATCTAGCCATTTCAGTAAAGTTAGAACCACTATTTTTTGCTAAATATGCAAATTTGGGCCGCGCAATATGCAAATAAGGGCGGCCATTACTGAAAATCAGTTTTTCGTCAATATCTCAGTAACTACTCATGGTATCAGAATAATTTTGGTGTCTATCCCCATGTTTTGAGGGATAACGAATGGAATTAAGCCATTTCAGTAAAGATCAAACCAGTTTTTTTGTGCTGAAATATGCAAATTAAAGCCGCACAATAGGCAAATCAAGGTGGCCATTACTGAAAATCTGTTTTCCGTCAATATCTCAGTAACTACATATGGTATTATAATATCTTTGGTGTCTTCCCATGTTTTTTTTGGAATAACTATTGAGCATAAGGCCATTTCAGTGGAGATCAAATAGATATTTTTGTGCTTAATTTGCAAATTTAGGCCGCCATTACTGAAAATCTGTTTTTCGTCAATATCTCAATAAATCTCATGGTATCAACAATAATTTTGATACAATACACATACATTTGTACTATACACATGTTTTGAAGGCTAGATAATCAGAATAAACCATCCCAGTATTAATCACACCAACATTTAATGCAAATTATGCAAAAACTAACCAGTATATAGCATGGGCGCCTGTACCTCTGAACACTGATAGGAATGTTAATAAATGATACAATCTGTTAAAAAAAATATTAGACCCTTCATAAGCCCACACCTGTGCCTTACCAGCGTCTGTGTACAGGCAGAATGAAGCGCTAACTTGACGTCCTGAATTTTATGTCAGCGTGGCCCGTGTAGAATTTAAGTCAGAGTTGAATTCTTCTTGATTCCCGGACAGGCCAAAATAGCCCGGTAGCCGCGGGGTGTCCCACGCCTGAAAGTGTCAAAAACAGCCCGGGAACTACCCGCCAGTGACTTTTTTTTACAATTGGGACCAAAGCTTAACAGATCTCCAAAAAGATGACCGGCGGCCCTCAAAAGTGCACAGTCCTAATTAAGGCGAAGGATGGGACCCTACCACTGTCTTAGGGGAGGACAAGCTTGCCAGGTGGGCAGAATACTTTTCAAACAGTCTTAAACCGCTCAAGCCCTACCTCAGTAGCATTAGTCTTTGATGAACACCTACACCCATTACCTGTTGAGATCGAGGACATCTCCGAAGCTGAAGTCAGTCACCAGGCATGAATGGCATCACTTCAGAGATGCTTAAAGCCGAGGGTGACTGTGTTGTGAGATGGATGCTTTTCTGATCGCCGTACATCGCAAACGCTTTAATAGAACCATAACCATCTCCCCTAGTACGCCTTCCTTGGAATAAAGCAGGCATTCAACGGTGATCACAGGGAAGTGCTGGAGGACTGGAAGAACGGATCAGTAGTTAAGCTGGAGTCACATTTGAAACGGGACCTGCTCGGCATGTTCTCGGTGTAGACGCCGGCCGGCGTCATGAAGCCGAGCGTACGCCGGCTGTCAGGGTCACAATTGAATTGAGGCGGCTTCTATGTAAAATTCACAAAATTTTGGTCCCCTTGACGACCGGTTTCTGTTAGGGACCCATCCGGTGCCCAGTCAGTCTTCTGTCAGACCTGTGCGTGATGCGATAGGGTGCCGACTAGCTCTTGCATTCCGGCCGGGCAGCTACAGGGTCCCTGGCGGGGTCAAGGGGCGATCCTGGCAGGTCCCAGGCTGGTACGCCTGTGGCTGGTATGGTGGGTTCGGCCCTGCTGGTTGATGCGCAGACCAGTGTATGGTCACTATGACTGACTGATGATGTAGCTATGTCGAGAACAGCACAGTACCCTCTATATTGTCTATAACTACCTTCTTCTGAACAATTCTAGCACAGAACAACACACGTGACTTCATAATCTTGGACAGGTGTCTGTGCGTGACCCGGCGGCTAGGTTACGGTTTGGTCCGGTGAGGTTACGGGGTCGCTTCGGCGTACCTTGCCCGCCGGGGCCTGAAGTGATTTTAAGTTTGAGTCAAATCAATTTGGCGACGTCGCGGGGCCAAAAAATAGGCCGGCAGCCGTCGGGAACCCCGCCTATTGCCTTCCAGGTCCCGTTCCGAATTTGGTAGTGCCAAAACACAGGCCGAAAACGCGCCGAGCGGGCCCCTTTCTTGAATTGTGACATAGGCTTAAAGTGTGCATTCCAAAGAAGGGAAACCTGAATGAATGTGATAACTTAAGGGGAGTGACAATTCTTTTTTATACCAGTGAAGGTGTATGCCAAATGCCTCCTGAACCGCATGAGAGATGCAGTAGGCAAGGTCCTCTGGGAGCTGCGAGAAACAAGCTAGCTTTCGCTCAAAGAGATCCTGTGCTGAGCAGATCTCCACCCTGCGGTGGAGGAAATGTGCTGAACTGCAAACCCCTTTAGCTATCGGATTCATTGATTTCTGCAAGGCGTTTGATAGCATCTAAAGTCCCTCTTTATCATGTACAGTTATGGACTGCCAAGTAAACTTATGTATACAGTTAAACAGATATACTGAAACTCGAAGTGTTGTGTACGGACGGTTGAAGGAATCTAGATACAGCGGGTGGTTTGAAGACGGATCCTCCAAGGTTGTGTCCTGTCACAGATCCTCTTTCCCGTGGCTATCGACTGGGTACTTGGGAAGCAACAGGAGAAAAGGGGGGTAAAGGGGGTTCCAGAGACAAAGTTTGCCGACCTTGACTTTGCAGACGACATTGCGACATAGCGGAAAACACCAGAGATCTCCAACCCCTAGTGACCAACATAGTCCGTCTGCAGACAGCATTGGGCTCAGCATCAGGGCCAAAAGCAATTAACATGCTGATAGGAACACACGCTCCTCTTAGAAGTGTGACCATTGACAAGAACAAATTGAAAGTGGCGGAGAACTTCACCTACCTTGGGAGCTCCATCAACAACAAAGGACAGATGGACAATGAGCTAGACTGTAGACTTGGAAAGGCCTCAGCAGCCTTCAACCAGCTTGGCTTTGAAACCTACTATGTGGAAATCAGCCAAGAAAAGAAACTGGAATCACTGGATGCTTCTGATAGTGAATGCGTGAGGAGATCTTGAGCATCAGACGACAGGACTTCATACCCAACACAGATATATGAGCCAGAGCTAACCAACAGCCAGTGTCTACAATCATACGCAAGCGGCGTTTCATGCTAGAAGACGTCTGCCATCTAGACTTAGGTAAACTTGTCTTTCAATATTGAACAGGTTTTGGGTCAGATAAACTATACCAAGGCATGTGCGTTTGCATGGAACATGGGTCGGAATTAGGACCCCTCCGTGCTGGCAGCCAGGTGCGTCAATAACAGACAAGGCCCAAATTTGCATATGAAGCAAAAAATAATGGTTCTATCTTTACTGAAATGGCTTAATTTAATTCGTTATCCCTCAAAACATGGGGATAGACACCAAAATTATTCTGATACCATGAGTAGTTACTGAGATATTGACGAAAAACAGATTTTCAGTAATGGCCGCCCTTATTTGCATATTGCGCGGCCCAAATTTGCATATTTAGCAAAAAATAGTGATTCTAACTTTACTGAAATGGCTAGATTTAATTCGTTATCCCTCAAAAGATGGGGATAGACACCAAAATTATTCTGATACCATGAGTAGTTACTGAGATATTGACGAAAACTGGATTTTCAGTAATGGCCACCTTAATTTGCATATCGTGCGAATTGCCCAAGGATGACAGAGTGGCATCATTCAGATTCTGAAAGAGCACACCTCAGAGATATAGAAACAACAAAAAAACTTTGTATGGACCGCATTGCAAGGTTCTCCAAAAATCAGGGGTTTGGCAACCGGACTATTTCTGAAAACAAAGTCAAGACACTGTAGTACATTTGCAGGTTTCCAGACAGCATTCAGGGCTCAAAATACTTTTTTGACATATTTATAATATTGAAATTTGAAATCCTTGTTGTAGTCATACCACATTGCAGTCTGAATACCTGCATAATTTTCAATGTTTCCTACAGACAAATTTTACAGGTCCAACTTTACCTGCAATAATTTGGACATTTCGAGCCCTGGCATTGGTAATCTTCTGTTCCTATGTCATATCACTTAGTACCACATGTCCTTCTTATAGTTCCTCCAGTGCTCCATCAGCTGAGTCGCGGAGTCCCGGCACAGGCTCGTCATCAGGACCCTTCCGTGAGCGCATCTCTGTCATGGAGTTCGACACCAACGGAGACTCGGACAACGAGTCAGACAGCGACATCCTAGAGATGATCAACAGTCGGCTTCGTCAAGTTGCTGCTAGGTGAGTTGTGGAGAAAGAAAAGCCAGTTGTTTCAATTTGTAGTGATTACACTCAGCTTGTTGGACATCAGTCTAATGTTCTGGTCAGTGTTCTAGCCAGCATTTGACAGAATTTTGTTGTTCATTTATATATGGATAAAAATTTCGATGGACACAAAAAACTAAGCTTAGTCTACCGGCAACATTTGCCCCTCAAAACTCAGGAAATAGTATTTCTGTGGGACATGGTTTCAAAATTTTCCCTGGGGAGCATGCCCCAAGAACCCCCCAGGATTGTTGTGCCTTTGATGTAATGTCTTGCATCTTCAACACCCAACATGGTGTTATGTGAGACAAAATTGAGTTGAAAAAAACTTTTTTGTCTTCCTAGAAGTAGAACACTGAATTGTACAAAACATTTTTTAGGACTTGTTGGAAACCCATCTATATATATATAATGCTCTGATTGTCAGATTTAAGAGCAGTCTTTTTTAGGGCATCATGCTTTCATCTTGTACTACATAGTTCTCACCTGAAATGTGTTTTTTTACAGGACTGAGGAACAAGAAGGAGCGATCCGCCCCCGTAGAGCGCTCTCAGCAAACCAGGCCTCCCCTCTCACTCTGGTCTTCTTAGGTATTGTTATATCTGCGGTAAGTCTGGCTAGATAACATACGTCATGCTGTTATCTTTTATTTTACATGTATGGGTGTTTAACTGTTGTATCAGTGTTGTGTTACATTACTTGAATGAAAGGTTTCTACCACAGTTGGACTGAAAGAAATCTGAGATTCCAAACCTCCAGAGAAATGTATAATGCATAATGAGCACAGCAACTGCTGACAATTTCAGACATCACATGTTACCAGTAATGCATAATATTTACCTTTACATATGGTCTGCTCTGTTAATTCTTACTCAAACACATTCATATTCATGTATATGGTGACAGGAGTCTAAATCCCTCCTGCTATAAAATTGCAACATGATGTAACCCAACACTAGTTACCATGGTTACAGACGTCTGGTTCAGGTCATTGACTGTATTGGTTTGGAGAAGAAGAAGAAGAAACAGAGCAAAAACAACATGTTTTCCTTCGGTAAACAAAATTTTAGCTACGAACACATACATGATCATGACCAAAAACACTGCCTTCCCATGGAAGGGTATCTCCTTTCCTGGAGGTAAAAAGATGATGAGAATGTTATCTCTCAACTACAGGACGGTGAAGACACCCCTCGTGGTCTAACCAAGGAACAGATCGACACCCTCCCCACCCGTACCTTCAGTGAACCATCCCGAGAGGAGAACGCCAACAACTCGTGCAATGTCTGCATCACCGATTATATAGAAGGTTCCGTTCTCCGCTGTCTTCCATGTACCCACGAGTTCCACGCCGTCTGCGTGGACCGCTGGCTGGGAATCAACGCGTCCTGTCCCGTCTGTCGCCACACAGTAACAAGCGAAGCTTAAAACGAAACCATTTCTGTGGCAAAGCTTTAAAAGAGTATAGTTTCAGAAATATGATTGTCTTTTGTCGATGAAGTGTCCACATCGAATCACGATATGATAAAAGAAGTGTCATGCTTCTCCTGTGAATGATTCAGTAATGACAACTGGTGATACTTTGCTGTCAAAAATGGCCAAACTTGATGTACTGCTGCTCATATAATGCTTCTAGTTCCCTTGGGGAAGAAACCAATAAGAGGTGTCAGATTAGACTCTGATCTCAGAATACATTACGTGGCAAACTTCTTCACACCCTCATCCCTTTTCTGTCTCCACTACAGGTAGTGGTAGACAGAAAAGTAGCTGGAATAGTTAGGTTTTAATGATCTAAAATAGAAAAGGAAAGAAAAAAAAGCATGTTCTGTTACCAAGTTTGTTTCCATGTCCGCTTAACACAGAAAGGTATAATCAGAATTGTGAGCAAAAGAGGAGTGTACAGTTGAAAAGAGTGCTGGCATATGTACATGTATGTTTGAGAGAGAGAGAGAGAGATCTAGCACTACTTGCTATTTTGTTGCACATTTAAAATATCATATTAACACAGATACTACTGAAAATCAATTATAAAGTTCCAGAGAGTCATCATAGAGAAGATTTTATGGTAGCATATATTCTTCCTTATGCAGTTTTTGGACTTGTCCTATCCACCGTATCTGTGGTAGTAATGTTTTGACTGTAATACCTTGGTTCATCTTGATATAGCCTGTTTTGAGGCCTATGAAAGCATCTTGCTTGGTGGACTATAAGATGCATATGTACTATATATACATTAAATCATAATCATGGTAACAAGAAAGTAATTTTTTGGTGTAAAGACTGAAAAAAAAGATGGCAATTTTGCAGTGTTATGCCCTGAACAACTAACTTTCATTTACAGAAGACAATATTAATTTCACTTCAGCTTTGCAGTGGTTTGTATTAGCAGATCTACAGCATAAAGCATCATCTTTGCTTCTGCTTTGTTTAAAAGTCACACACAGTCTTAGATAAATACACGAAACCAAAAGGCAGACTATTTCAGAATAATGTGCCTTGGAGTAAAAACGGTCCAGAGAAAGTAGAGCACACAAACTCTATCACTATTGCAAATCATTGCTGAAGTTAACATCGCTAGTTAGTTTTAAATCAATGGCACAGAAGGATGTGTACCCGGTATAACAAGCCCCCATTGTAATTATACAGCGTTTCATTTGAAACATAAAATAGAAATAGTTATTTGCTTTAAATTAGATATGAAGCAACTACATGTACTCGTAAGCTTGATTTCTATGTTTTAAAGTTATGTTCCTTAAAGTTATGTTTATTGTTTATTTCTAATTGTTATTGTTGATGTTCTGCTTATGACTGAAAGCTGACGTAAATGTTTCTGTTTAATGTGCAGGAGTTTGTGCAATGACAAACATGCTTTATATGTATACATAAACTCAATTTTATAACAGGTTACACTTCATCCTTCATAGACTTGCATCTCACATATCTCATTGTATCTTGAAAGTTCATCTGTGTTGGTAGAAATCATTATGAAGCAAGTTTAAACTGTAATTTCCAACACAACAAATTGGACTCACCCAAATTTTCGACCGTACAACTCCAGTCTTTGTCAAGGCCATCTACATCAGGGCATTACAACCATCCCTCAACAGAGACGGGGGGCGCCACAGACTTTCTACAACCTATGATCCACTGCTCACGGAGTCACGTGTGTTATCTGCGTGACGTTACGGAAGCGGTGGATTGCTCATTCCTTGACAAAGACTGGAGTTGTACAGTCGAAAATTTGGGTGAGTCCAATTTGTTGTGTTGGAAATTACAGTTTAAACTTGCTTCATAATATTATGTTCACAATATACCATTTATGAGTGTTGATATTGTACATGGCAAAGAAAGATGTATCCTTAATCCTGCTGTAATATTGTATTATTATTATTTTGCTTGGAGTACCGAGCTGAATATTAAAGGTGTATAAAAGCTATTGCTGTAAAACAGCGAACGACATGTGGACGGATTTCTTTGATGTGATTAAAAGCAGAAAAAAACGAAACATTGTTGTTCTCATACTTTTATTTAGTTGCAGTCATGAGCACAGTGGTGAACCTGAGTAAGCGTTAAACATGGGCTAAACCACATTTGGCTTTTGATATGTACACACCTCTACTATTACTTAGGCCATGTTGATTTGATTATATGCATGACATCCGCGCGTGCATGAATTTTCGGCCATTTCCAAAAAAAGTTTCCAACCATACTGTAAATCGTACAGAACAGTTGCAAAATGAGCAAATATATACTGTAAGTTGAAAAAAAACCCATTGGAAAACAATACCAATGTCGTAGAATGCCAAAATCAAACGAAAAACACGAAAATGTAAAGAAATTAATTTGAAGACTAGATTATTCTCCAAACCTCTTTGTCATTTGTTCAACCTTCAAAACCATGTAGATTTCATAATCAAACTTTTTTTTTGGGCCAAACTTTTTTTATTCGCACGCTCGCATCAGTCTTGGGGTTCCCAGAGGATGTCATCCATATAATCAAATCAACATGGCCTTACATGTATCTTCAATTCTTAGGACATCTCTTCTCCACATCATATAAACAAAGTTGGCGTGAATAAAATGACAGTTGAAAACAATTGAAAAGTTATACATACATAGTCTTAGACATTACTAGATAGGTGTGTGTACGAGTACCTACATGTAAATATACCTGTACCAGTTAACATATTTAGGTACAGGTCTGGACCTGTGTATCTGGTGTACATGTACCGGAACAATATAAAAAACTTGTGTACAACATTTTGATACACTAGAAATGGGCACATTGCACCTCACAAATGACAATTTTGACAATTATATTATATTCAGCCATTGAAACTCATGAAAACTCTCATACAAAGAACAATATACATGTACATGTACCACTAAAAATACAATTGGCTACATGTACATGTGTAACTCGCACAGATGTCTATATAAATATATACATTTGTATATAGATATATAAATATCTAAATTTGTTGAACCAAAGTGATATTACATGTATATCAATCTGTAGATTCCAACATGATTGTAATTTGTATTAATTACTACTACTATCAATTAATGATTTATATTGTAAACAAACATTGGAATTCAGCCCTGCATCCAAGGCTGTGAGATATGTTATTGTTGATACAAATAAACCAATAAATAATAATAATAGTAATAAATAACAATAATAACAACAGATAATTGGCTGAACTTGTTTAGGTACAGGAAGTGGTCCAAACCACTACCTTTAACCTTGTCTGTACCTAAAATTAATTACATAACTCTATCCATATTCTAGATATGTTGGGAAGCTAAATTATGACCTTTTATAGCTTTACCTATCCTCAATATAAGTTACTAAAGTTGTAGTAAAAACCTGTCTTCTTTTTTGGCGACGTCTAAGGGAGGAGCCTAATGGTACAATATTGTGTGCAGTTTGCAAGAATTCTAGGAATGGTACAGGCATTTTGTCCACAGGAAAGGAATGTCCACAGGCATGTCTCTGACCCACATCTATGCCCACATTCCTGGAAACCCTTGGGAAGACCTCTCTGTCCTACTTTCTGTGACCCTGGGGCTCGTTCACTATACACTCAGGGGAGGAGTGCACTGTATCTGTCTAGACTTATCAGGTACCAAGTCTTCCTCAAAATCATGAAATGATGGCAGTGCCATGCAAGCAATAACCCTTACAGCAACGTTACCACCGTCGCCATGGCAATGTATGTTTTCATTGCCAGTCTTGTTATGACAACATACCAGTTTTCAACTTTCGTAGGGACTTCTGCAATATTTCTAGACAGAGTTCCACGTGTTCTACATGTGTACGGAAGCCGAGCACACAGATTCTGAGGTAGAACGTTCCCTTGAGAGTTGTAGACGACAGATACACGCCTCCCTCCTGTATCATCTCTTCGAGCAAAAGTTTGTTGAAGCTGTTCGCATCCATTCCGCTAGGTGGCTCTGTGTACCTGAAGGCGACCACGGAAAGCTCGGGCGCCTGCAGGACTTCGAATCCGGGAACATCTGCATTGAAAAGTAACCGACATTAGCAACTACGTATACAATAACACGAGGCATCGGAGGCGACTGAAAAGAGTAGATATTGGCCAAGTAGACAGATAACATACAAGGAAAGTTCAGGTATCTGTCTAGCCTCTACCAGGCTTAGGGTGGGTGTGGCAAACTGTACTCTCTACTCCCCTTTATTTTGCCGATTTCTACTCTTTTCCTGCCGCCACCCGAAGCCTGGTAGAGGCTAGTATTTGGCCAATTTCTACTCTTTCCAGCTCTATCCTTTTGAAGCCAGGCACAGGCTAGTACATGAAACCAACTTACACATCTCATTTTACACAGGTTTTCAATGCAGAAGCTTTACATTTATCGACATAACAAAGCGTACAGTGACTTTAGTAAGGTTAACCACAATCTTGAAATACAAAATAAATGTACAATGTATGTAATACCGTCCTCATTTGTAAACAGAAGAGAAAAAAGTGCAATAGTCAACTATCCTAAGCTACCTCGGGATATACAGAATTGCAGTAAAGAAGAGACGTGTTCTCACTTGTTAGTACCCTGGAATCCAGAACTCGTTTTCCGGGCCGCAAGAGCCCTTCGCCCGCTGGTGTAAATTACCGCTACAGGGGAGTCTAGCCCGGGGGGAGTTTGGCTGGCCCTACATCGACGGACAAACCCCTCGGGCTCAACTCCCCCGTAGCGCTAATTTAGGCAGGCGGGCAAAGGGCTCTCGGCTGCCGAAGGAAAACGGCTAACGGCCCGATACTAGTTTTGGCATCCAGGGTAACTTGTTAGCCGACACCCAACAAGTCTGCGAGGAGGCTAAGTCAGACCCTACAACATGTATATTTACCGAATCATACCTTTAGGAAGGTGGGGGCTATAGACTTGGGTTTACGTAACTTTCGAAGAAAAGCGGAAAGACTTCTAAGACTTCGTGTTTGTTTCGTACATAGAAGCTTTTCAAACCGTTCTACGTGTATATATACAATGTAACTTGAGCGGAAACGGGTTAAAATAGAACAGGATTTAGAATGACTTGTAGGTGTATCAGCTCACCGGAAGAGGGTCACGGGAGAGTTCAAAAGAGTGTTCTCACCTTTTATTATGTTGTAGAAGTATGTTGCCAGCTGTAGTTTTTCTGTCAGCATAGAACGGAAAGCTTCAACTCCGAACAGTTTGAGCGGGAACCACATTCTTGGTCCTCTGCAAAACACAACATTTTGAAACTATTTAGCGTCAATGATTGGGAACTGTGGGCACTGTTCACAAAATATATATGATTCAAAGGCATCCGAAGGTGGCGTCGGTGGCGCAACGGTTAGAGCGTTGGACTCGGAACCGAGAGGTCCCGGGTTTCGATACTCACGATCACCGTGGCCCGACGTTGTGCCCTTGGGAAAGGCACTTTACACGACTTCCCCACCTATAGAGTGACGCCCACCGAGCCTCTTAGGCTAATCTGTCTAACTGTGTGCCAAAAACACACTACCAATTTGGTGTGCCGATGTGACAATATCTACACATTGGCCACTGAGAGCCGTTAACTTTTTATTATTTCAAAGGCATCGATCCGAAGCAATTTCGGGGTGGCGATAAAATATTCTGGATGAGGATCTGCCTGATACTGACATTTACTGCCATTTCTTAGCATATTGTCGTCATCATTTCATATTTAATATTGAAGCGTTTTAAATAGCCCCCACTTAAAGAAGCTCGCAGATATCTTTGAAAACCAAGGTTTACTGCCCTGAAATCGCTTTCAATTGGGTGCATTTATTAATTATTATTTTTTCTTTTTTTTTTAGAACAGGCGTGAATCAATGCACGCACGGATGTCATCCATAAATTAAGTCGGTGTGACCATAGTGGAGAATAATTGTCCGGGGAGTTACTTAAGTCACATTTGCCCGCGTCTGGTAGACCTACCCCCTGGCTACTCAGACCCTATATTTACCGCATTATAAGGAAGGTGGAGGCTAGACTTGGGTTTACCTAACTTTCGAAGAAAAGCGGAAAGGGTTCTAATACTTCGTGTATGGTTCGCACATAGAAGCTTTTCAAAACATTCTATATATACCATGTAACTTGAGCGGAAACGGGCTAAAATAGAACAGGGTTTATAAAGCATGACTTGCACTAAGTTGCAGGTGTCAACTCACCGGAAGTGGGTGGAGAGTTCAAAAGAGAGGTCACAGGGTGACAGCTCTGTGTCGTCACTTCCGGGGTGGTACAGGTAGCCGCCCTGTTTGTGTGCGGTGTTGGACAGGTGCAGGTTCGGCCCGTTCCTCACGAGAACCACGCCGCTACCGTACGGGACGTTCAGGCCTGTGGATAGAAGGAATTTATTGCTGTAAATCACTTGATATTCGCGGTAGCAAAAGTTCGTGGTCTGAGAAAAATGTGCTCTCCAAGCAGAGGTTTGAATTTTGGCTTGTTTTTTTGCGTTTTTTCAGGCTTTTTTTTTTGGCTTCCATTTTTGCACAGGTATCTTTTTTTACGCTAACCCAACCAGTATAAAAAAGAAAGCCCAATACTAAAAGCCTAATTATAAAATAAGCCAAAATCCAAACCGCTGCTTGGAGAGGAAGAAAAATGGACATCAATGAACTACTAAGTATATGTTCGGTGGTGGCAGTAGGTGCAGCAAAAAAAAAGTCGGCGAATTATTTACCGGTAATGATAAGTTCGCGGTACAAAAGTGACCGAGAAAACGTATGCACAGTGTATAAATGATCACATATGGATCATTTATTTTATACACTGTGCATACCTGTCATCATTGTATAAAAATATCAAATCAAAAGTATCAAATCTAGCTATATACTACGGCATTGTTACATCCAACGATACACTGTGGGAAATTGTGACAGTGCTCGGATAGGGCTGGAAACGTAATGATAAAAAAATAAAAATTCTCTCATCAATGTTTTTTTTGGCGCCTCAGGGGAGGAGTTTCAGACGACAGAAATACAACTTCCCAAGCACATAGAAATATTGGCTCTTGTATTCCTATTGGCTCTTGCTCTGTATACCATTCTGCTTAGTCTACTATGATTTTAGACCTGAAAATTTTGGACCTGAAATCAGTCAAAAACTCCTACATTATATATACCTTTGTGTGGATCCACAATGATAGAGTCGCTTCTCTCCACGCCCCTGAACAGCGGCCTGGTGTCCTCACACAGCGCGAAGAACCCGCCGTAAGCGGCGTCCACGTGCAGCCACAGCCCGTACCGCTCCGCCACGTCCGCGATGGCGTCCACGGGGTCAGCCGACCCCACGTCGGTCGTCCCCACGGTGGCAACAACGGCAAACGGGATCAGGCCATTCTGTTAGATGAAAAAACAATGAAAAAAGACCGTTCTGACATCCTCATTTTTACATGTTCCCAGGGCCAATACTGTTTCCATGGCCAAATTATACACAGGTCGGTCCCCACTGAGATCATGAAGAGCCTGCATTGGGGTAGTGATTACGAATTACGCAAAATTTTAACTTTCGCCGCCAATTACGAATTACGTTAAAGTCTCTGAGCTGATTACGACTTTACGCTTTGCAGCTAATGTTCTATTACGAATTACATGTACGTTGATTTTTGGGGAGGCAGCCTACGGATTTAATACGAAGACTAAAAAGGCCTGATTACGCCTTACGAAAAAGGGCATGCAGTTCCCCCTGAACAACTGTGGCAAAATGTCTTTCGGGACAGGTTGGCCCTGGAGCTGATGAATCTAATCTGTATACTGGCCGTGGCAACAGTCTGGTACTCAGGCTAATGGTATATGTCACGCATTCGATGTTTTCCTGACTTTCCTATGAAATACAGTGCCGATAGCAACCTATTTGAACATATTCTTTCATCAAATACATTATAATATGTATAACAATAATCTTTATATAAACATTTTGGAAATAGCTTTGTTCGGTTTATACATTATTTTCATTAGTTTGTGGGTGAACGCGTTGAAGAAATTGTCAATTCTAACCTGTGCATCTTTTTCAACTGTTGTTTCGAGAGTCTGGACGTCCATTTTCCACCTGGAGTCCACCGGGATCTCCCTGACGATCGCCTCTCCAAGCCCGATGGTGTGGAGGGCTTTCCGCATGCAGTGGTGGGTCAGCTCGCTCACGTACACCACGACTCTGTAGGGCAGACACCACAACGATTGTAGTTCCTAGTTAATATCTTTGAAAATCCTTTTTTCTCTTGAAAATTTTGGTCCAGCTTGGAGATTTTTGGGCTAGGAGGAACAGGCAGGGTCTAAACTTTCCTACTTTGTCAAATTTTGTTCATTTTCACCAGTTTAGTGGACATAATGAGAGACCTGAGTGATGAGGTCTGGCCTGCCCAGGGTGGATGGATACATCAGAGAATTAGGTCAAAAGTAGGGTTTGTTTACTATCATCAGCTGTAGCGGGAATTTGACCGGGTCGACCCCCTAGCCTGTTTTAATACTATGATGTTCGGGAATCAGACCCTTGTGGCTACCTGGTGCAGAAGAATTTTTGAGATTGAAGGATGGATAACTACTTTCATGGGGACTTCTTTTAGTGTATTTAAGCATGTGTTGCTATGGCAAAATCTAATAGTTCTGTCTGCCCTGAACATGCAGCAAACAACGGGAACACCGTTAAAGGGGCATTATGTAACATTTTTTGTAACAAAAATTTAAATACTGGAATTTTAATTGAAAAAATGTTCGTTTGATTGAAATTCATATCACTTTATTCGTGCAATTCTTTAATATTTCTGACATCTATCGCTGACGCTAAAACAGTTCACAACAGGCACACCCATTTTGTGGTACCACCACAAACTACCAGAATGTAAACAAACATGACTGACAGCTGTGTTTCTAGCTTTTTAACACAGCTTTGTAAGACTTGTATTTTGACACCTCCATTTTCTGAATGGCACTTTTTTTGCAATGGAGTAGGATTGAATAAACTTAATTAAAAAACGGACAGAAAATTGACTTTTTGTATCGTCTTACTATGGTACATAATGCAGCTTTAACGTTCAAAACTAGGTTTATGATAACATGATAACCGTTGAACAATGCGGAAATTAAAGTTAGCGAAGAGATGAATAGGCATACTGCATACGTAATAGTAAGAATTATTTACTACAACTTCTGCGAAAAAAGAGGATTGGTTGAGAACAAACCTATGGAAATCCCGGGCCCTCAGTCCCTTCCTGCTGTCCCTTGCCGTTGCCATGGCGATGACTGTAGCAGCGGACCCTCCGGACGTCAGGTTTCCCCGAAAACCCTTAGGGTACCCGAACACCCCGGCCAGCCACTCCAGCAGCATGTTGTCCATCTCTACTCCGCCAGGGCTCTCGTAAGCACGACCTGCCGGGTGACGTCATGGAACGTTTGGTGTTAAAGGCATCCAATGCGCAATTTTAGTAGCCTGCAGGTTACCAAACCTATTATTGCTCCCGAGTCCCACATCCTCTCCGCTATTTGCGTACTCGGGAGCTATAATAGGTTTGGTAACCAGGCTACAATTTCAGGGCGGCAGAACAATATATATTCTGGGTGAGGAAGTCTGTCCGATATTGACATTTACTGCACATTTTGTCATCATTTCATACTTATAAGGTGGTTGACATAGCCAAAAACAAGCTTTTGGGGTACCACCCATAAATAGTTGGAACCATGCAGCCAGCATCCAAAGCAAGCTTCCGTTAGTCGCATTTTTGCCTCGCAGATATCAGTATGCCATGGGATATATTTGATACAACTTGCTACATTAAAAGAATTACAGAATTACAAGAAAATTGACTGTGAAAATCCAGTTTTGCTGGCCAGAAATTGCCTTAGATGCCTTTAAATGTACCCCGTGCAGTTTTTTAAACCTTTAAACACAGATTTTTGCAAATAGTCACTTATATACATATAAGTTGAAACAACACAACACAACACAACACAACACTATCCTTGATGTATATTGACATTCATGCAGCCAAAATGACGAAAATTGTAACGGAAAACCGTTACTGGTAGAATCCTGGGATGATTTTTAAATAAACAAATCGAGTGAAAGTCTTGTGTTTTCTAGTAAACAGGAAACAGGACCCTGTCATCAACGAATGTAAAACACCAAACGATCGCATAAATGCCGACAACCCCCTTGCCCTCTGCGTCATGGGAATGAGTAACGGTGAATGACTCGACAAAAAACGGTATGACACGTTTACCGGGAACTGTTGGGGATAGGGGCGGTGTCAATAGAAAATGACGACAAAAGTGATTTCATGGTAGTTAAGACTGCGTTTTCACAGTCAATTTTCTGGTCAATTTCCCACAGCATATTGATATGTATGAGGCACATCGTACAAATACGATGTCACTTGCTTCGTGCCGTAGGCTGGTTCTGGCTATTTATCATTACAATGAACGAAATCTCATATTTAGGTACCTTAAATCATACGTAAAGGTACACGCGAAAGAAGAAACGGCAGCTTTACGTGTGATTTAATGTGTGTGTAAGGCCACAACAATTTAATTTGTTGGTTCACGGATTCGCACTTTGTTTTTTCTGGTTCGCAAAAAAAAAGAAAAAAAATATTTCAGTCTCTTAATCAACACCAAAATACTTATCTTTTGGCCCCAACAGTTGAAGGAAGTCCCTTCTCTTCAGAGTTGTTACAGTTTTCCATCTATCAATGCAGTGGTTTCATTGGAAGTTTGAGAGTCATTGTTTCAATTACAGACCAACCTGGTATGTTGACTTTATGGCTCCTATCATAGCATTCGGGGCTATCATAGAATGCGTAGGTCTGTTTTTATTTTTTTTCGCCCTGTCGCTTCATATTTTTTTTAGAAAAAAATCCGAGAACCAACAAATCAAATTGGTGTGGCCTAAAGAATGGATTATTTTGCAGTTATTTTAGTTGAAAGACCTACATACCTGCGTAAGTGCAAAGCGTATCGGCGAGAAAGTCTCCCAGTGCCGAGGGAAAGACACCGTTGTTGGGGACATACGCCATGTGCCCGCCGTGCCCGGCTCGTAACCCGCGGCTCTCAACGTGTGTTCCGTACAGGTCCAGGATATCGTCTGAAAATGTCAAATGACAGCAAATGTCAAACCACTATGGTTAACCGTCATGTTTGTTTGTTTGTTTTCGCATAACCGGTTAACTGCCTTTAGGCGTAACACACCAGGTTTGTACATGTACATACATGTACAAGCTGCGTAAGACCGGACTATAAGGTTTGAACCACTCACACCGGGAAGGTCCCCTACTCTTTTCGATGCGGTGGGTTCTTTTAACGTGCGTGGGGTGTGGGTCTTATTTTCTCCCCAAACAAGGGACCTCCATTTAACGTCCTATCCGAGGGACGTCCCTAACCGAAGCTAGGTACTCATTTACATCTGAGTGAAGTGAGGAAAGTCGTTTAAAGTGCCTCTCCCAAAAGATCGGAGACATGGGTAGGATTCGAACACGCGACCTCTTGGGTGTGAGCCGAACGCGATACCGACCCCACACTGTAGCCTGGTATCCAGTCTATCGTTGGGTGGTATTGCTTTTTTTTATTCCAACATTTCATGACTAGACATGTGACGACACACTCAACTTATGTCAACTTATTTTATGCCGCCGCCAATGTAGAGGACAAATCCAGGACAGGACAATACTCATTTTCACTTGAGTTAAGTAAGAAAAGTCGCATTAAGTGCCTTTCCCATGGGAACAAGATTTGTGGTATGTCAGTACTCTAACCCGGGACCTTTTGGTTCCGAGTCGAGAACTCTGCCGTTAAAAAGCCCATGCACTTGGTATTGTTGTTGGATGTTGGGCGGGAGGCAACCGTAAAGGTATGCGGGGAGGGGCCACTAGCCGCGGACGGCAGAGTCTCAAGTGCGTTACACCATATAGACCGTCCTTGGTTACAGACTATTAGCTCCAAACAGACTACTAGTTACTACAAACTACTGCTATCACCATGGAGGTAAAAAAAAAATCACGCTATCACACGACATACTAGTAACACATTCGAACAGACTTTCTAGCTTGTTTTCTCCGCCACTACCCAGTATCAGAAGTGACTAAAAATAAAAACTAGAAGTTGAAAGTGGCCAAATAAATAGACAGATCACACAGGCATGCATTGGAAGTTGGTCCCATACAGGAGTACAGGAGCCGCAAACTGTACTCCCTCATGTGCTAGCTAGCCGCGCTCGTAGAAATAACGAACGCTTCCCGCCAGAAAGTCTGTGCAGGAGGCTAACTACTAGTATCAGATCGACACATTTACGTGTTGACTAGCCT